CGGCGGCGCGGGCCCGGGGCTGCCGGGGGCGGGGCCGGCCGCGGACAATGTGACAGCTCGGCGCGAGTCAGCTGACTGGCAGCTGGGGAAGAGGAGCAGGCGCAGCCCGGTCCCCGCGCTCCCTCTCCCCCTGCTCGCGTGGTCTCATCTGCCCAGACTCTCCCGGGCTCTTCCTCCCGCCCCCCTCCCTCCGCCGCCTCCTCCTCCTGCGCCCGGCGTCGGTCACAAAGGCAGGCGGCGGCGGGCTCCGCGTCTCCCACTCGCTGCCCGGCCCTTTGTTCCAAGCAGAGCCACGTCCCTTTGCCCCGCTGTCCCGCTGCGGAAGGCCCGGCTGCAACTTTCCGCAACTTGCGCCGGTCCTTTCCCCCGGGAGAGCAGAGCAGCCGCGCTTAATCCAGCGGAGGATCCAAACGTGACCGGGGAGACTTGTCACTTGTGTGTGCGCGCCGGGGCACGGCTGCACAGCGCTCCCCGCGCCCGCTCGCAGCCTGCCAGCTGTTGTGTAAGCCTCCAATACCGCCCCGAAGTAAAACAGAAGCGTTGGCGCAAACGAGCCGGGAGGCGAAGGGGTGAACCGAATTGCCTGCCCGGCCGGACCCCCACCTCGGCCGCTTCCCCGCTTCCTTGCAAAGAAGAGCGCGGCTTGTTAGGGGGCTTTTTGTTTTGGTTTGGTTTTTGGTCCAGTAACAGGACTTTAAAAAAAAAAAAAACAGCCCATTTTGTAACGATTAAGGGAGATTAAGGCTTTTTGGAAAACTGTTTTTACGTTCAAACAGGCATAAAGCGCGACCCCAAGTGGCCGCTCGGAGAATAACACCAGCCCTGGAAGGAAAAAGAAAGAAGTAACGGAGACGAGGCGGAGAGCCTGAACCCGGGTCCCTGGCCCCCGCAAGAGGAACTGAAACCTGCAAGAAGGGCACCGTCTTTTTGTGCCGCTGCTCCTGGCACCTAGCACAGCAGAGCTCCCCTCCTCCGGCCCCGCTGCCCAGAGGGACCCCCGAGAGGAGGTTTTTAGCGTAAATGCTCATCTCTGAGCCAAGCCTGCTGGTCCCTGCCTTCACCTGTCTCCCTTCGACTTCCTCAGCAGTGACAGCACTGGCGTCTTTCTGCCTCTGCAGGAGCCTGCCCGTATCCGGACTCTGCTGGACCCAAGAGCTGGGCCCCGGGCGCCTTCCCCGTATTCAAATCCAAGTGTTTTTCTCCCTCTTAGGATTAAAATCCCAAACAGCAAGTGGGGGGCGGGGAGGGGGAAGCATTGCAGCTCATCCCCAGAGCCCGGTCTCGCATCTGCTACCAAATGTAAGACGTTCAAGGCAACATCCACTGTCCCCCGCCGCCGCCACCTCGTCCTGCCCGGGCAGCAGCCGCCGGGCGCGTCGGGTTAAGCGGAGCCCCGGGCTGCGCCGCAGAGCGCCAGGCAGAGCAAAGGCTGCTGAAAAGACCTCTGGCCCCGAAAGAAAAGTTCAAGAGATCCCAGGGAATCCCCCCTCCCCCGCGGGCAGAGGCAAAGCTGGGCAGAGAGTGGCCCTGAAGCGGCCCCGGTAGCGCTGCAGGCGCCTGGAGGTTTAATTTGGTGTGGCAATGAAGGAAACGCCGGGTCATTTCATTTGAATTTTCCCCATTACACGTGCAGAATATAGAAGTGGCAATCAATAGCTCCTTGGAGCCCTGACACGGCCCTTAACCCTTCGCTTCCCGCAGACGTGATGCGGAAGCTTTTACACTCCTCCAGAAGCAATCTCTGCTGTTCG